GCCGAGGTTTTGTAACTTCTGTTGTGGTGAGGATCACTCTCTCCAAATCCTGGCAAGTCGTAAACCACAAGACGAACACCATAGCTATCGAGCAGTGAAGAATTGATTCCGATGAACAACGAGCACTATGCGCTTTGCTTGATCGGCAGGGACACCTTCTTCTCGGTATGAGATGTTTCTACCGTCCGGTAATTGGATCCGCCTGGGTGGAATTCGAGCTTTCTGACGATCGTCTGGAGATGCCTTGGGCTGAAACGATCGTGTTCTAGGCCCTGCATTGGATCGATTTAAGCCTTTAATCGATTTAAACTTTGTGGATTGACTGGCTTTCAACCTTGCTTTGTTTCAGCCTTCAACTCTGAAGCTCTCTTTATTAAAAACTACATAATAGAATGCTAAACCAAAGATAAATTTATATTTGTCCTTTTTAAAGTAAAATCTAAAATCACGATTCCATCACCTGTTCAAGGAATCGATAGTCCAAAATGAATATTCCAGTCAAGAATACAACACCAAATTGGAAGATTAGCTGCATTCTTCTAGTTTCATCATTCTTGCCACGCACATATCGTATTCCTGGGAAACCTTGGAATTTCTTCGCAAAGAACAGTGTTGACCTGGGCAACTGACAAGAACAAAGTAACGACATGCACTTGGGCAGACAAACAACTTGCAAGAACAAAAACTTCTTCGTCCACCGGAATCCATCAGGAAGGCTCGCACGGGCGATTTTGCATGCCCCTCGCGTGGCACCTCAATCAGCTGCTGCGATCTACACCATGCGGATAGAACCCTACCCCTTACAATCTTCGTGCCAAAAGTTTAAATCGATTAAAGGGCATATTCTTGTGGTTATTCTTAACGTAAACAGAGGCATATTCTTTCTTTTAAGAGCAATGCAAGGTTGAAAGCCAGTTCTATATTCATTAACACATATATACTTTTACTACTTTAACACTATACATTTGCTTTGGCTGCAAACTTTGTCCAGCCAACATGAATCCCTTCGGCCAAAAGTGCCTCCAACTCCACCGGATGCTGCTGCTGCTCGCCTCTGTTCTTGCCTCCTTGTTGCATCACCTGGAAGCACTTAAGATACATGGCCTTGTCCACAAACTTGGGAGGAGCCCGGGGATTGCAAGCCTCGTCCCCACCCCGGGGCGCATAGAGATTGTTTGCGCCCCAAGGAACTATGGAGGTAAGCAAGTAGAGCACCATAAGCCTCCCCACGCGTCCATTCCCATCCCTAAACGGATGAATGCACTCAAACTTGTAAAAGAAGCTGGCGCCAATGCTCAACAGCTTTGCAACCCTGAGCTTGGGATCTGCTGCAAATGCCTCCTCGAGGGATTTGTTGGTGGCTGACAGGAGCTGCTCCAAAGCCGCCGGGATCTTCTTGGGATCCATGTAGACATGCTTCCGCCTCTCTGTTGTCAATGTCCACGCCTCGCCCCTCCTAAACTCGCCCGCATCAACCTCGTCCTTGGTGTTCTCCCCGAGCATCTTGTGGATCCGGAGAATCTTCCCGGAATCTAAGCGTGGAACCTTGTCGGCCTTGGCCTGGGCGTTGACCCGGCACAGGCACCTGTACAGGTTGAGCGTTGACACGAGCTTTGGCTTCCTGTCGCCGCCAAAGCCATCGAGCGCAAAAGACTTTGAGTGGTTGTACTGGTCAATGGCATCGCTGACCTCTTCCAGTGTGTCGAGCCCTTCGCCCTCGATGTTTGCCACTTGGAACACGAATTCTTTCACCATTGCTGTGCCCTGCTTGAGCGCGCCGCTCTTCTTTTTGTCGGGCAGGGATTCGTACCTCGCAACGCACTTCTCGATGCTCTTGATCGTCGCCATTATACCTGAAACCCTAGGCTCGAACCTTTTCTATTCATAGGGGAGCCAACGGTGGAGATTCCAGCTTGTTGCGATTAGCCAAGCGCTCCAACGGTGGCGATTACATCATCATATCGACGGCCAGCGATCAATGCGCGCCAAGTATATATGTTTGGGGAGAAAGTAGGGTTCTTTATCCTCAGGGATGGGAAAGTAGAAATTGGATGATCCACTTCGTGACCGGGTGCTTGCGTGATTTGTGAAACTTTTGGAGGTGATATTTTGTTTGGAAAAATGGTAAGGCGCATCGATTCAAGTTTTAGAGCTTTCTTTTTCTCTCCAGGTTTTAATCGTTGGCTGGTTAGTTCTTGCGACTGAATGTCCGTGGGCCAGGAAAAATTGTTCTGTTGTTCCAGGCAGTCGATTCAGCGAAACTAATTCGATGACATGACATGAATGTTCAACAACGGTCAACTACACGCCTAACTGTAGGTTCGTTACGAGTTGAAGAAGTTAGAAGAAAAAGAAACAAAACAACTCCAAGAAAACCAAGTGTAAGTGACCAAGACGAGCAATGAGTTCCATACCTCTCTTGTTGATGGCCTTGGCAATGCAAGCCTCGTCCTGTCTCCCAAACTTTACCTCCCACTCCATCTTTATCATCCTTCTTTGTCCCGTGTGTAGTCTGTCAAACTTTCAAGGCTAATCACATTGATATCGTTGCCAGCCGTGAACCTGTGCATTGCCTCCATGATCACCTCTCACTCACGCACTGCCTTTCATCCTTGGAGCTTCGTCGCCAACATACTCTCCAGCTTCACCACCATCCAGGCTGGATTGATCCCTCCCTTGAATCGGAACTCGAAGTTGACCTCGGACAAGTCTCTGCGAGATCCTTTGATCTAGCCGCTACTCCAGCTCCCTCTTCTTGCAAGTGCACTCGAAGTCCAACGTCGTGGGCAGGCTGTTGGCGGTCTACTTGCTTGCCTCCATCGTTCCCTGGGGCGCCAACGCGCCCCTAGGCGGTAACGAGGTTTGCAATCCACGAGTTTGTGCCGTATACCTCAAGTGCTAGTAATGCAACAAGGCAAGATGGTGGCGAGCATGATTTGCATTGGCTAGACAGCACAAATGTCCGCAATTGCCCACCTCACTCACTTTTTCTGATGGTCCTCTGCGGAGATTGAGGAGCGACGCCTGTGAAATCGCCAGCTTATGAAAGAATGCGGCTTGTATGCCAATTTGGTGTTCTCTAATGTTTTCCAGTATAACATTCTGACTGGAACTTTTGATTTGGATTGTCCGAACTATTCTTACTATTTCTTTTGTTTTTTTATGCTTGTCTCTGATGTCGCTAGTTTCCAGACAATGATTTCAGTGCTGCTCATTTTCCCTGAGCATTGAACAAGGACAAAGAAAGGCATTTAGGAAGCACAACTTTGTCGGGAAGGGTTTATGAGTTCTATGCTTTTCCGCCAAGTGCTGTTTCTAGATATTAGAATCGTAAGGAGTTGAGGACGAATCGTTGCCTCCAGAATGCATGGTGATACTCCCAGCCAAGCATTGGTGCGGTCGTGCCAAGGCATTCCGCTGAAACAAGGACGCACTGGCTTTCTCACATTTGCTCACGGCCAAGTCCGAGTTTTTTGTGGTGGTTGTAGGCGAGCTTTGGAGAATCGAGGGGTTAAAATGCAGCCAAGAAAGTTAGGAGAGTTAGAATTCAAAGAGCCAAGTCTAGAGGACTTTTGCAGTCTCATGCAGTGGAATTGACTGCGAGCGATCGCCTCCTTTTCTTTCTCCTCGAAACTTGTCACGGGAGCTGGGACGTTTTTAAGTTAGCATAACTGTATTACTTTGGAACATACACTTCTATTCTATATGTGCTCGGTTGACCAAATTTGTTTTGCCAAGTTTGTCATATAAAGCCTGGCATGACCATCGTTCTCCATTGCCAGACCATACGAATGCTTGGACCCATAGTTTGTTTTCGTCTTCAAGATGACCACCCGCGATTCAGAGACCACGAGCACCCCATTCTTCCAGAGAGACAAGACGCACACTTGATCCCTCCCACGAACAATCCTCCGGACAATCTCCCCGCTGTGGATACGTCTTACCACCAGATCACACCCGGCCTCCATAGACAGCCTAAACTCCCTGCTCGGTGAGACCAAGCTGTTCCCCTCGGGCAGCGTCGATCCCTGGGGGTGACTCCCGCCAACTAGAGACGTAGCAAAGACCCAGCAATTCCCGGCGTCAGGGTCAACGCCCAAACCAACGACCGTGCTGACTGGGTGAACAAGGAAGTTAGTGCGGTCAAACCCAAGTAGTTCACCGCTTGATCCACCACCTCCTTCAGGCCTATCGTCAGGATTGCTGTTGAATGGGGTTTCCTGGAACTGATACTCAATCCCAAAGTAGCCGAGCACTATGTTGACTTCGCCAAACCAGCGTTGCGTGCGACCCACGTCTAGCAGCTCCGCTCGGATGGTTGCAATCATCCGCCCAACGCTGTCTAGGAGGTCGCCCCCTGGGAGGCTCGCGCGACTTGGCGCAATGGAGCAAACGTCTGAGTTCTCAGTGAAAGCTAGGCTGTAGAGCCACACTCTCACGCGGACATAGGCATCGTTTGCGTACTCCACCACGAATCCCACGCTCCTTCCTGCAAAGTAACCAAAATTGCCTCTAAACCTCCTTCCCACGAAGGCCTCGAGGCGATTCATGAGGTCTTCGACGTGCTCCACGGCAAGCTGTGCAAAACCAAGCCGCCACCTGAAGATTCCACCAAACTGGCGATTAGCCGGGGGCTGTCCATGGCAGAGATCAAAGCTCATGAGCAAAATTAGAATTGAAGCTGCAACGAGGAGCACCATGTTTCTCATGTTTCTTGCTAGTAGTGCTAGTGCTGCTTCCAATGTGATAAATTATCTCCTGTTTATACGATCGTCCTTGGTTGATCACAAGTGTCTCAAGATAGAACTTGGCACAGATGAGTGCACTTGGCATATTGGCTGATTAAAGTTTATTCAAACAGCACTATTCTTGAAGAAAAGAGGAAAAGGAGTTTTGTCGAGTATTTCGTTTAGTTAAAGGGTTTAAGTAAAAAAAACTAAGATTTTTTGAATATTCAAGGAATCCTTTAGTTAAGGGTTTAAGAATGGAAAGACTAGGGTTCTTCCAGAGCGCGGTCGCAATCGCCCTCCGGCGCCGCGATTCCATGATTCGTGGCTTGTGTAGATCGCGGCAGCTGCGGAGATTGAGGTGCCAAGCGAGGGGCATGGCGGCCGCGACGCCTGTTGAAGTGAAATCGCCAGTGCAGCCTGTGCGAGTCCTTTTCTGCGGCCCCGAATCGGTGTTCCCTGATGGATTCCGGTGGACGAAGAGGTATTTGGAGCCGCACAGCCAGATCGAGGTGAGCGAGGATTTCTTGTGCTTGTTCTTGCGAGTGTCGTTACTATGTTCTTGTTTGCCCAGGTCGACGCTGTTCCTTGCCAAGAAATTCCAAAGGTTTTCCACGAATACGACATGTGCGTGGCGAGAATGGTGAAAGTGGACTCGAGCTTGATCTCTCTCGCCAAGAGAATGCAGCTTATCTGCCAGTTTGGTGTTGGCCTGGAAGGTAGTCCAGCATTGTTCTTGACTGGAACTCACGATTCTTGACAGGTGTGGACGTTGAAGCTGCGACTAAAGCTGGGATCAAAGTAGGAAGAATTGCCAGTGATGCCACTGGAAACGCTCTTTCGTGTGCTGAGCACGCCATTTATTTGATGCTGGCTCTTCTTCGTGACCAGGTGCTTGCGAGAGTTTTCTTATGTTCTAAAACTTTTGGATTTGCCTTTCAGAAAGGGATGGACAAGTCTGTGAGCGAGAAATGCCTGGGATTTCCTACGGGTGATACTTTGTTTGGAAAAACGGTAAGCGCTGGATTTCTCGCATCGATTCAAGCTTTTAGAGTTTGCTTTCTCCAGGTTTTTATTGTTGGCTATGGAAATATTGGCAAGGAGCTCGCGATCCGCTTGAGAGCTTTTGGAGTCAGAGTTCTTGCGACTAAACGTTCGTGGTCCAAGAAGAATAGTTCTCTTCATCCGGAAGGCAAGGCTCTTGAAACTCTTCTTATGATCTTTTTTCGTTTTTTATTTGGTTATCTCTGATGTCGTAGTTTCCAGACAATCCTCTTCTAGCAGATGGCCTGATAACTCGTAAATCTCACCAGTTGTTTCAGTACCTCAAGGAGAACGAAGATTTGCTGGTGGATGAAAAGGGCAGCGGGGACTCTTTATACGACTTTGCAAGCCGAGCTGATATCATCGTTCTGTGCTGCCTCCTTACTCCTGAAACGGTAAGTAAAAGCCATATCTCCTTTCGTCGTGGAATTCCTGACAAGTGCTACTGTCTGTAGGCTGGAATGGTGAACGAAAAGTTCGTAAACTCCATGAAGAAGGTATCGCGTCGCGTTTGCGATTCTTCCAGTCTAATCTTGCAAACTAAAACAGGGAGCGCTTGTTGTCAATGTTGCCAGAGGTGGGCTTTTGGACTACAAATCCGTGAGAGATGGCCTTGAGACGGGGCATCTGGGAGGACTGGGTTTGGACGTTGCTTGGCACGAGCCATACGATCCTCAAGACCCGATTTTGCAGCACCCCAAGGTCATTCTCACTCCCCACGTCGCTGGAGTGACACAACTCTCGTACGCAAAGATGGCCCAGGTAAAAAACCAAAATCTTTGTCTTCCCGTGATTTCTACACTGTTTTTATCCACAGGTGATCGCAGACTGCGCCGTGGAACTCTCACACGGACGCGGTGTGTCGGGTCTTCTCGAGCTAGTCAATTAAGTTGACTCAAAAGCTCCGATTAGTCAAACGCGCTAGTCATCGACATCAATTCGATGACGTCACAAGAATGTGTTGACTTATTCAACGGTGGTCAAGCTAGCATCGACCAATGACCCCACGCGCAAAATCTATAGTGCGTTGGAAATTTTCGTTACCCACTCAACCTTTGGTAGACAAGTGCACATTATAAGCATAATTGGATTTTTCGCATCAAACAAACACTAGAGTGGTGTCTGGGCTGGACTGAGAAAACGATTGATCCTCTCATCCACAAAAATCATTTATATACTCCACCATTGTCTTAGCTCCATGACTCAAGTTAAATTCCTTCTTTGCTTCCATCACTCCCTCCCTCTCTCCATGGCTGAAGTAAGAGCCTTCGTCATGTCGATGATGATTCTTCTCGTCACTCTCGCGAGCTTTGCGGGAGCTGCCGATCCGGATCCACTCACCGATTTTGCGTCGTCCACCGCAGAGAATAACTTCCCGTATCACTACCCCAAGCCGCAGCAGCAGCAATCGCCGGACTCGTCCAAGTTCGTGGTTCGTGATGTCTTTAAAAATGGCGACGTCTCCAATGGACCCGGCGGAGTTCGAGCAGGGCTCTCGACCAAGATCTTCCCGGCTATGGAGTAAGAAAAAGCAGCCTTTTAGTTTGATCTTAGATGAGATCAATCGTGTGCTTACCTCCTAAACTCCTTGCAGCTCCCAGGGACTCACTTATGTCCACTTCAACATGACTCCCTGCGGTGTTAATTTGCCTCATACGCATCCGCGAGCAACTGAGATGCTTACCATGGTGTCTGGAGGGCCGCTCCAAGTTGGTTTTGTAGACACTGAAGGTAAGACGTTGTTGAGGGGCGATTCGAGTGATCGAACGGAGTTTTTTCGACTGCAGGGAAACCTCATATCAACGTGTTGCATCCTGGAGATGTTACGATCTTCCCTCGAGGAATGCTCCACTTCGAGGTCAATGTCGGAACAGAACAAGCGTTTTACATCTCGGCTTTGAACTCACAGAATCCTGGAACACTGGTAAGCACTCTAATAAGCATTTTAAACAAAAGAACTAATCGATCGAAAAACTTTACCAGACGAGTGGAGGAGCGCTGTTTAATGTCCCCGCGCGAGCATTAGCAGCAGCTCTGAACCAGGATCTTGCATCTGTGTCGAAAATCAAGGATACGATTTTCAAGTATAGCTCGCAGCTGCAGATGACTCCCCCGAACACTTGCGTTCCTGGAAAAGACGTCACAACTACGTTTTAGAAGTTGCCAAAGCTCTAACTACACTACTAAAAACCTTGACTTGATGAGCATATGTTCTTAGAGACTGTTCGTGTTGATTGTTTTCCCTGATCAACGAAGGACCCATCTCGATCAGAAGGAAAATATAAAACTGGCAAAACGTACCTATATGTGTACTTGGAATTCTTTTTGAGTGTATAACTTCCAGCCGGAGCTGCCTTTGAACTCCAAAACTCTGGAGTGATACTTAATTAATGAAATCCTGTGCCCCACCGAAACATACGATTTGATCTTGCGTTGGAGCAGTGCGTAAAGCTTCGATTCATTCGTCATGTCAAGTGCGCTCGTTGCCTCGTCGAGAAATGCCATCTGAGGCTCGTGTAGAAGCAGCCGTGCAAATGCCACTCTTTGCTGCTCTCCAGAGCTGAGCACGTCTGACCAGTCACACACTGAGTCCAGGCCTCCGACTCTTTGTATTAGATCTTCCAGGCTCACTTCCTCAAGCACCTTGAAAAGTTCTGCATCCGAAAAGTACTCTGATGACAGTGCCGGAAATAATAGCTGTTGTCGGAGAGTTCCCAGAGGCATGTAAGGCTTCTGTGGCAGAAATATTGTCTTCTGTAGAGGCACCTGGATGATACCGGCGCCTTTGCTCCATAGGCCTGCTATCACTCGGAGGAACGAGGATTTTCCACAGCCTGAAGGCCCCAAAACCAGTAATGACTCCCCAGGAAGTAGCTCGAATGATAGATTGTGGATAAGTTGGGTGCGAAGATTTGGAGTCGTCACTGAAAGACCGCGAACAACAAGGCCTTCCCCTTCTTCACGAGTTATGGAACCTACGCAAAGATAATAGTTTCGGTGAGCTAGACCAAAAATTTTCTCGTACCAGAAATTGGAGCTTGGCTGTCCGTCAAGTTCAGCAAAGGATGACCATCAGTATCGTCTTCGACGTGCAGCTGTATGGCGCGCTTGCTCGATTGTCTTCTGTAGCTTCCAAACAGCTGGTCATGGATACCCAGTGCAATGAATAAGGTGTCCAACCGTTCTGTTTGTGCTGCGAGCCCACTGAAGAGAAGGTTTCAGTTGGTGGAAATCGAAGATCCAGTAACGCACCTGAAGCGATCGAACTTCAAAATAATAAAGGACATGGACGTTAAGATCTTGTGGAAGGCCATGGCAGTTTGAGATATAACTCCAAATTCCACCTGGAATAGCACGCCAAATCAAGAACGAATCACAGAAAAGAAACACAATAACCTGGCCGGAGAAAAACTTTGGAGCAATGATCAGGTAAGGAACAATAAAAATCGAGAACTCATAAGCATTACTGAACAACGATAGGTGTCTGTCCCATACTATAAGTTCTCGCATGTTTCCAACAAGAGAAGCTAGAAATGCCTGCATAGTCACGAATTAGCTATGGCCTTCTTTATGAAATGTGTATTACCTTCACGGAAGCTACTTCGTGACCCTCACCCCTGTAAAAAGCGATACTTTCAGCGTTTTCTCGTACACGAACCATTGAGTAACGAAAATCAGCTTCTTTTTGTAAGTTCTGTTGTTTGTTATGTAATTACTTGTAACTAAACAGATAGCACAGTACCTGATACTTTAGATGCATGATCTTCGCTCCAAAAAATCGAACAGTGACATATGTTCCAACGATGGAATACGCAAGCAAGAAATACACGAGTTCTGGAGCAATAAACCTGCAATGCAAACACGATGTCCTTCCGAGAACGAGCAAACAAAAGGAACATACCATAAAACTCCAGTAAACGCGCAGACATTCAAACACTTGCTGGCAATAATTGCGAGGATATCGACCGCATTGAGAACAAAGTTGGATACATCTTCGCAAATTCGTTGATCCGGATTGTCGACTTTGCCTTCCATCTTGAGGTCAAAGTAGGCTCTATTCGCTGTTCATGAGCAAAGAATTAAAACCAAAACCCTTGGTAGAGCACAAAGCTCTCAACTGAAATAGCTTGTCAGCAGCAAATTTGAAAGCCAGACCCGCCACTCGACCGCTAGAAGCTCCTGAAAGAACAACGAGTTACTCGCAAAGAAAAAAAAAAACGAGGAGCTAAAGAATGTAGGCTACCTGGCTATACTTGTAGAACGCTAGAAGAGGAGTGGCCACCACAACAACACCGATGAATTTCCAGAGCGCCTTGTGGAATCCAGCGACGTCTTTGTTTGACACCGCCGTGGAAAGATCCCGCTGGATGTAGGAAATCGACACCATCACCCCTGGCGGCCGAAATATTTTCCAGCATCCTGGATCAGATCGAGCTAGCCGGAAGGAAATGCGAGGCATACCTGCACAGATCGCGCAGAGGAGGAGCACGATCGATAGCAGCCAGTAGGCCTTGCGCTTGCGATCTCCCCGGAAGAACACCGCGGCGACGCGCCAGACCTTCCTTAGCAGCCTCCTCGACGGCATCGCTTCCGCCATTTCGCCTCTCCGGGAAGAAATGGACGTCCTCTCTTTAAGGTCGGCACTGCTTAAGCATGGAGAAACGAATATGCTATGCTTTGCCCTAAAAGAATATTCAGAGCATATACCATTTAACTCCTTTTCGAAAGCCTCTGTTTTAGGGTGGAGGGGCCGAATGGCGCACCGCGGCTGGGGGCGCCTCGTAAGTAGATCATCTAGGATAGCAGCAGCATCGATCCGGCCTCCCGCATTTCATTCGGCAGCTCAAGATCTCCTCCGCGGCAGCTATCCCGCGAGGAATTTCAGGATCGCGGAGAAGAAGGTCGCGGATTTCAAGCAGGCTGCTGTGTCCAAGGCGCTGGTGGCACTGCGAGCTGCCGAGAATGTGTCCAACACCGCCTGGAATTCGATCGCTGGAACCTTGCAGCCGGTTGCTCGACGCATTGAGAATTTGGACTCGGGTTACAAGGAAGCCATGGCGCTTCGCTTGGAGGCCTTTTGTAGGAGGAACCGGCTGATTCTTCTTGCTGCTCTAGGCTCTGGTATGTCCATAGTTCTCTGGAAGGTGATTATCAACATTAGTGAGCTGCTGGTGGGATTATCGAAATTCTCCTTTCAGTTTGGATTGCTCGCTCTTACGACTTCGTCAGTCGTTTGCGCGGTAGGCATATACATTTCTACTTCTTGTATCCTTTTTTGATCTTTTTCTCTTCTTTACTGCAGGGTCTAGCTCTGAGAACGCGACACACCATCAATCCCGAGACGGTTTATGGAATTGTCATGCGCAAGCTGCAAAGTTCTGCCGGATTTATGGAGGTGATGGGCCATCCAGTTGTTGGTGGAAAAGTTCGTGCTTATTTTACATCCGGGGGTGACTTAAAGCTCCAGGACCTCAGGCCAAGGCTGAGCTGCAAGCGGTGCTTTATTGTGTTTCCAGTCCAAGGCTACGAGAGACGAGGCATGGTGAGCAGCGAGGTCATCAAAGAGGGAGGACAGGTATGCTTTTCAAAGGTTTTTTTTTTTTTTTTTTCTTCGCTTTTTCTGATTTATGTGAGATATTTTCTGCAGTACCATGTGAAGCTGCTGGCTGCTGACATTCCAATGGATACATCTGATGAGAGGTTATATGTTGTCGGGGATGACCGTGATTTCGAAGCTTCCCAAGGGCCATATTTTGAGCTCCGAGACCCGATTTTCAAGGCGATTGCTGCCGAGCGGGAGTTTGATGTTCTAGATGAGATTGAAGCCAGTCAGCAGCGCAAGAGGTTCTTAGCCAAGCTGGATTCAACCATCAAAAGAGTACAACGATGGGCTAAGCGTTCAACCGAGTTGTTGAAAAGATGAAAGCTTCTGGAGGATGACTGAGGTACGTTCTTTTGAATTTTCAAACCCATCCAAATTTGCAAACCAAATAAGTTTTTTGTTCGGTGCGAGGTGACGTTTGGAGCGTTGAAGCAATAAAGAGTTCGAGAAGGCGGTGACTTGGACGAGAGAAAACGCCAACGTGGTAGCTCGGTTACCCAGCGTGGAGCCGACGTGGAGCCGAGATTAACTGGCGCAACGGTTGGCGGAGTCAAACAAATGGAATTTCCCTCGGGAAGCTTCCGGCAGGGTGTGAGGCCGGCTTCACACACTCCAGGGCAGAATAAGTCTTTGGGTTAGCCAGGAAGACGCAGGTGTAGCAACGAGCGCTAGTCAACACGAGATCCATAGAGATGAGAGCGTGGAATTGGCCATTCCCCGCGATAGATATACCCAGCAGGGATTTGTGGAAGCGGTAGCGAGCACAGGGAAGCATCAAAATCTAATTTTGGCGACAAACACTCCAGATCTGGATCAAGCCTTTTCGTCTCGAGAGCAGCAGCAATGAGCAAGATCAGCAGGCGGAAGTCACCGAGGTTCGGCTCTTCCAAGGGGAAGCAGAATCCATTCCAGAACCGAGGGATGGACAAGTTTAACGAGGTCTACTCCGAGCTGGAGAAACTGCGAGCTTCGATTGCCGCTGAGGAAGGGGTGTCTACCTCGGATGTTTGGTTCACGAGGGGCACGTCCAAAGGAAGGGACTGGGTACCGGTTGTAGTTGGCAGGAGCCGCTCATCGTCCATCCCTTCTCGAGGGGATTCGCAGCCTCTGACTCGGCTAGACAAGCAGAATTCTTCCGCGGAGAGCAAGACCGGTGATGACGTTGTCTCGGATCAAGCTTCCGTCGAGGAGGAAAGCCATAGCGTCAAGGATTGCAGCAAACAATCTTGGCTGTCCGTCAAGTTTGAGCAGCTTGTCTACGAGTTACAACACGGGACGAGGAAGGCGCTCAAGGCAATCACATTGTTCATCATGATAGTCGCGGCGATAGTGGACGTGCTGATAGCGGTCGTGGCCGGCATCACCTCGTCTTTCATCGCCAGGCACTTGAGACCGATGTGGGCTCGTTACCTTCCGGTGAATTTCCCGCAGCAGCCCAACATCGACCTCAGCTTTGCGCGTCCGGTAACAATGAGATCACTGCCGGGCTCGATGAGTTGTGTTTCGGCCCCTACTTCCCCGAGGCAACCCCATCAGTTTGGATCAGGTGGAAGTTTCAGCAACACCAGCGACTTCAGCAGGACAACGTCAGCGAGCACACCGGTGAGCCCGGTGATGAGCTGCTCGACGTTTTTCAGCTCGGACAAGCCGCAGGAAGTCGGAAGTCCGGCCCACAGACACCAACCGAGGAACAATCCATTTCAAAGCGAGCAACAACAGGGTGGAAGTCCGGCGCACAGGCATCAAAGCGAGCAACAACAAGGTGGAAGTCCGGCCCACAGACACCAGCCGAGATTTCAAAGCGAGCAACGAGGTGGAAGCCCGGCTCATAGGCATCAAACCGAGCAACAACAAGGTGGAAGTCCGGCTCATAGGCATCACAGCGAGCAGAGAAGCCATCACCAAAGCAGGCTAAATCATCTCCAGCAGCAGGAAGAACTCGAGAGCTGCGTTGGTGGCAACGGTGGGGGTGCTGTCCAAGTGATGCTCATCGTCGTGGTGATCCTCTTCGGGCTCACCAGCACCGGGATGGTCGCGGCGATCGTGTTCGCGTCCATGGCCTGGTTCGTCTTCCCGGCCGCGAGAAAAGTTAGCTCCAAGCCATCGAACAGGACAATCTTCCAACACGACGAGTTGAGAAAAGGCTTAAGCGTGTGACAGAAGAAACTGTAAATCATTTCTCTCTTTTGGGAATTGTCAGGCATGATCATTTCCAAGCAATGTTTTAAAGGTAAACAACAGTGGATCCAGAAGTGTCAAAGGTCGTACAGTGATCGTACAGTGTTTTACGTGTGATCGTGCAAAGATTGTAAAGAGAAAAACAAAAAGATTGGAAGGTATGGAATAAGCCGCCGATTTTCTTTGTTAAGTTCACGTGTTCTTTGGAAATGTGAAGAGCGTGGCCGGCTTGCCGATGTGGCAGATGTTTGCCAGGTGGGAAGCTGCGATTCGCTACTTGGGGTTCTTTATCCTGTCCACGTGGTTAAATCTTTGCCGTTGTTTTCCCAGATGGAGATAGGGCTGAGCTTCTCGTTCTTAAATTCTAGCAAGGTAGGAGGATCGTATCCGCTAGGAAAATGGCAAGCGTTTGCAAGCTAAGTGTGTCATTCCACCCGAATGCTCGGGCGAATTTTCGATCTAGAGTGCACAGGGCGAGTGTTTTGCGTCCACTTTGCTGCAACACTGGCACTCCGAGCTCCCTGGAGAATTCTCCTTCTCCTCCAAAGAATCGGGAGACAAAGCTACTGAGCTCGTTAGATTCGTACTTCAGCAAGCTCCAAAACAAGAGTAGCGCTGCGAAAGACGTTGCGGTGGAGAATTCGGCAAGCTCCGGGGCTGTGATCGAGGATTCGAAGAATACGTCCAGGGATTTACAAGGACTCGACGCTCTCAATGCCTACTTCGACAAAATGCAAGTTCCAGCCACCAAAGGTAGTGCCATTTCTTTCGTGTTTTTCTTGCTAGAGATTCATCAATCGCTAACACAGTTTTTGCTTCCAGACGTTCCGAAAGAAGTGCCCAAAGCTCCAGTAGAAGAAGATGAGAAAGTTCTTAGTTTTCTACACGAGCTAGACAAAAGCTTTCAAAAGGACGACGCTAAAACTCTTCCTACGGACTTTGCTCCAAGAAATGCTTCTACTTTCACGTAAGTACATACGAAAAAAGAAGTAAAAATGAAGAAACTCTCTGCTTTTCCTGGATTTTTTTTCCTTTGATTCTGTTTTTACTATTTGTTCTTTCGCAGGAATGTGATCATAGGTGTAAATGCCGCTGTCTTTCTCTTTGGTCTCGCGAGCCCCGTTCAAACTCCCGAGATGGTCGAAGTTCCTCTCCCGTTTCTAGTCGGAGCTAAGATCAACTCCCTCATTGCGGATGGACAGTGGTGGAGACTAGTCACTCCAATGTTCTTGGTAAATTTCGTGTGAACTTAGTTCTGCCAACTTCTCATTGTCTGTTCTTTGTGTTTGTAGCACGATGGTCTCATCCATATCGGCCTCGGTGCCTGGGCTCTACTCTCCTTCGGTCCGGGAGTGGAGTCCGTCTATGGTCCGGCCGGGTTTTGTATGATCTATCTACTTGGAGGAATTTTCGGGAACATCACGAGTTATTTCCTCACTCCAGCTCCAACAGTCGGTGGCACTGTAAGTTTTCTCCAAAACTTTCGATCTAGTTTTGACACAAGTTTTGGCAAAATGATGCTGTGACAGGGTCCTCTTTACGCTCTAGTCGCTGCATGGGCCGTCTACATTGTCCAGAACCGCCAGAGTTTCGGCAAAGAGATGCAAGCAGGGATCACGAGTGACGTGATACAAAAGATCCTCGTTATGAGCGCTCTACACTTGGCTTTGACGGATGCGTTGCCTGCTGATAACTGGTGAGCTAGTTTCTCGAAAACTATGACGCGTAACTTCGCCAAGTTTCCAGTTTCTTAAACTTTTGCGTGTTCTTACAGGACTCATGTTGGTGCGGCAGCAGTAGGCACTTTGTTTGGTCTTTTGGCTACTCCAAAAGCCGGTCAAATGAATACCCGGCTAGAAGATCTTGATGACAACATGGTAATGTCTGGCGAAGCTCCGGAGTTCCAGCGCTTGACGCAGGCCTTCGCGCTTTGCATGGGAGTGTTTTTTGTTCTTTATAGCTTTGGAAGTCCTGCAGCAAGCGAGATGCTACGAGTTCTCTCGCAGGAGAACGACACGGATTTCCTGTAGTCGTAGCGCTTGGGTAAGAGGCAATTTTATACTCTTCTACATGAGAAAATTTTTGCTCCTTTGTTTATAATGCAAGGCTTCTCAAATGGTGACGCTCGAAACGAGATAAGGTGGACAAGGATGCATTGGACAACTCGTCTCCCTCGAAGGATGTTCGAATATCCAAACGAGGACATTTAAGAGAGACTATTTGCCGTGTCAACGAGAGGGAAAGGAGGAGGCAATGGATATGGGACAGGATTATGTCAAGCTGGTGACACTCATCGTCGCGTTCCTCGCAGCAGGTTTGTGCTTGATTGATCCTTGGTTTGGAAAAATCTAATCTTTGTGCGTGATCTTTCCAGGAGTTTATGCTCAACTTCAACTCCCATCCTACGCCTTGAAAAATTATCCTCTCGGGAAAGCCTTTGCGAATCCAAACCAGCAGTGGCATTTTGCGACTCTGTGTTTGAAAAACCAGGTGAGAGAGTTTTTCTTTTCTTTTTTTTCAAAGTTTTCAATCATATATGTTTTGTACAGAGCTCGTCTTGTACCAGACTTGACTACCATGGTTCTCTCAACGTTACCAGCGTCCCAGACTATTGCGGGCCTTGCGCCAACCAAACCTTGGTAGTGCTCAAGTGTATCGACCGAGTTAAGTCCCACTTCCTCTTCACGAACAAGGCAAGCACAGATGACGTGAGAAGATCGCTCCACACTGGCTGCTCCACCGGTAAATTCCCCTTTCCTAAGATCTAGAATCCAACTTTTCCTTCTAAAAAACTCATTTTTTTTCCCCAGGAAACTTCACGATCGTTCCCAGTGCGAAGAATGTGGGGACCAAACTCACAGCGTCGTTTTGGATGATACTCTTTGGAACTTGGGTCGCTGCTAGAGTATAAAGCGACAGGCGCCAACACTTTTAAGAGAATTCTCTACAAATCGCTATAGTACGTATAGCTTTAAAGAAAAAAAGAAGGAAGCGCGCCCACAAAGAGACTTGTCAAATAAAACTCTCCCCCCAAAAGTCTTTGACGTTATCGGAGTCAATCGCCAATTTTTGACAATGTTCATCCGTACGCCTGAGTGTTCTTCCGTACTCTTGATTGTGTTTAGCGTGTTATTTCGTACGTGTGCGCGTTCTTCCGTACGTAGTACAGCAGTGCAAGATCTTGCCGCGTGGCACTCAGAGAATAGTCAAATATCTGGATATTCGAATCCAGTTTGCGAATAAATTGACCTTCTTCCTTGCATGAGGCTAGGGCTTTGAAAATCCCAGAAGACGACGACCACGAACGTGCACATCGCGGCATCGAATCGCCAGTAGGTAATCTGCGCAGATTTTCGTGCTCTACCATTCTCGATCGCGTTTCCTTCCATTGCTATCGATTTCCATCCTCATTCTCGATTCTCTTGCCGGCATTTTATTTCCAATCTCTCGCATTCCATCTCCAATCTCTTGGCATTCCTCTTCCAGACCTGTGCTTGCAATCCCTGATTTTTGGAGTGAAAAGGTCTTTCCTGGACATTTTTTTTTTCCTCCACTATACCTGGGAAGATCTTTGCTTTCATCACACCTCTCTCTCAATCTTTGTCACACTGTTTGCAGGAAGGGGGCAATTCTTCCGCGAGCTCAGCGATGGCGCTCGAGGTGCTGACCGCCTTGGACAAGGCCAAGACGCAGTGGTACCACTTCACGGCCATTCTCATCGCGGGTATGGGCTTCTTCACGGATGCTTACGATCTCTTTTGCATCTCCACCGTCACCAAGCTCCTGGGAAGGATCTACTACTACGATTCAACCACTGGAAAGCCCGGAGCACTCCCAGCAAACGTAGCGGCGGCCGTCAACGGTGTGGCCTTTTGCGGGACTCTGTCCGGCCAGCTCTTCTTCGGCTGGCTCGGTGACAAGCTGGGACGAAAGAAAGTCTATGGGATGACGCTCATGCTCATGGTCATCTGCTCGATCGCCTCGGGTCTCTCCTTCGGCCACACTGCCAAGTCGGTGATGACAACGCTGTGCTTCTTCCGGTTCTGGCTTGGATTCGGCATCGGTGGCGACTATCCTCTCTCGGCCACGATCATGTCCGAGTATGCCAACACCAAGACGCGCGGGGCATTCATCGCGGCGGTGTTTGCCATGCAAGGATTTGGAATCCTGGCCGGCGGGATAGTGTCGCTGGTGATCTCCGCGGCGTTCAACCATGCTTATCCGGCGCCATCTTTCAACGAGAATCAGATAGCATCCACTCCAACCGAGGTGGACTTTGCGTGGAGGCTCATCTTCATGCTCGGAGCCATCCCGGCGGCGCTTACGTTCTACTGGCGGATGAAGATGCCCGAGACCGCTCGCTACACGGCTCTAGTGGAAGGGAATCTCAAGCAGGCCACGCAAGATATGAGCAAAGTTCTCGAGATGGAGGTGGCCACGGAGCCTGTCAAGCATGAGTCCCCGATGCGGAAGCTAAAGTTTGGTCTCTTTACGAAAGCGTTTGCGAGGCGACACGGCCTCCAGCTCCTGGGCACCACGACTACATGGTTCTTCCTCGACGTCGCCTTCTACAGCCAGAACCTCTTCCAAAAGGACGTTTTCACCGCGGTGGGATGGCTCCCGGGGCCTGGAAGTATGAGCGCGATGGAGGAAGTCTACAGGATCTCGCGAGCACAGACACTGATCGCGCTGTGCTCCACGGTTCCCGGGTACTGGTTCACGGTGGCTCTCATCGACAGGATTGGACGCTTCACCATCCAAGTCATGGGCTTCTTCATGATGACCGTGTTCATGTTCGCGCTCGCCATCCCCTACTACAAGCTCCGCGGGGACAAGTGCGGTGACAGCTTCTGCGGCGGCCACCACATGACGTTCATCGTGCTCTACTCGCTCACCTTCTTCTTCGCAAACTTTGGGCCCAACTCCACCACTTTCATCGTCCCCGCGGAGCTCTTCCCGGCCCGGCTGCGATCGACTTGCCACGGGATCTCGGCAGCGGCTGGAAAGGCCGGAGCCATCGTTGGAGCTTTCGGGTTCCTCTACTTGTCGCAGAACCAACACGAAGGGCAGCAGGAGCATGGCTACCCGACTGGATTGGGGATCCGGACGGCGCTACTGATGCTGGGAGGATGCAACGCTCTGGGGCTCCTGTTTACGTTCTTTGTTCCAGAGACAAATGGACGGTCGCTCGAGGACTTGTCTGGCGAGAACGAGGAGGAGATGTCTGCCACTCCAGCGGCGCTCCAGGATGTATGAGAGAAGAGAGAAAGAAAAGAAAGAAATTTCTCCTCTCGCTGTAGTACTTGAAAGTTTCCGGAGAACTTTAGCTGTTTGTACGAAGATTAATTTCTTCATGTTGGCATTCATTGCAACGATTGTCGCATGATGCTGGTGGTGTGGTGTAGTTTATCACTGCACTGCCCGTGCTAGTTCTTGGTGATTTTTGGTGTGGAGGATTCGCTAGCAGGATTATAAAATGGGTGGGAAGAGGAAAGTCCCTGGTGGTCCTTGAAAATCTGGAGGAGTGAGTGTTGAGCTTGCCTCATAGCCGCATCCAGTCTCCAAGGTGAGCAGCCTCTAGTTGATGGAAACATGAAAGTAAAGGAAAGTTGGCAAAAGGAAGTTGGCAAAAACTTCAGGAAAAGGATTAGCTCGGGCTTAAGCCATGCTATATAAAGTTAAAATATATATAACTTAAATTATAATTATATACTTTTATTCAATTATAGTTTTTAGAATTAACTTTAATTTTGAATAGTCAGATGGACAAAAAATATAATTTAAAGAATTTAAAGTACTTTAAAAATATTTAATAGAAACAATAAGTAATGAATTATTTTTAATTTCAATTAAATGAAAGAAAAAATTTTTAAAATGAGAAAAGATTACAATATATCTTAATATAATAGATGTGTAAGCGACTAATTTTTCCATTTTACTTTAGTCACTTAACCACACCTCCGACCACTTGGAGGAGTCTCATTCACCACCTCCATAAGTCCAATTTAGGACTTAGGACTTGCTAGCCCCGAGAATGGCATCTATGCCACTCAACATTTGCACTTGGTCCAGGTGCTCCACGTGTCCAATCCCATGACCGGCACTCAAAGGTACCACCGACATGGCAGCCTATTATGCTAAGGCCATGCCCAATCACCTTTGCCACACTGGTAGTCCAATACCACTTGCATCGCAATCTTAGCTCTCCAAGACTAGGCAATCCATCCGTGAGTGGTCATCTCAGATCCACTCCTTAGCATCCTTAGGATGCCCACCGACAAGGGGAATAGCCTTCCCTAATATCCCTCTGTCAATCTCCACTAAGTCCCTTTCTGCCCCTGACCGTGTTTGCCAACACTGCCACTGGATCGAGGCCCACAGGCCCGACCACTAAGTCCCACGGTCCTCTGGGACTTCCTCACCACACGACTGAGTCCTTGGTCACTACCCCAAAAGACTACTCCTCTTCCTTTCCACAGTCTGGGCCTTTGGGACAACATTTCGAAACACCGTGGCCTTACGCGAGCCACCTGGGTACTCTCCCCGCCTTCCTCCCTTGGGTGCTCTAGCCATGGGCTTAGAGCGAGGTTCCGTTGAGCCACGCCTGGTATTCAAGTAGGTAGTGCCACCCACACTTGGACTGGGAGCATCGGCCAGTCGATCTCCCGGGGGAACTAGAGCCGGCTCTTGAACACTTCACCAAGCTACCCCGCTTGTCGGTCCGTATTCACTCTAGTCTTGGACTTCCCAGTGGTCAGTTCATCACCCAA